TTGTCTTTAACTATACTTAATAGTTTCTCAGCTATAAACATCAAAATTACCGTAATAAGAATTGATGATATATAGAGGAAAATCTAAAGATTTTGGTACAACAATTTTTTTAAGGCAATAGTAGAATAAGTTTGGACAAATCAAAGAAGAGATAAAGAAACATAGAATTTCTGATTAAAAATACCAAAACTCTTAATTTTTTTTAGCGTGTACCATACAATATTATTTACTCATTTCTGAAAACATAAACTAGTAAGGGATGGTACAATGACCTCTTTGTGAGTTTCTCTGAACTCCGGTATACATATATCAGTGATGATAATATATTATACGCATCAGGTTCCAAGGTTTCCATTTTCAAGGCTAAACGACAAATGTTTACCGCTTAATTCAGCTAGCCTTTCACATGATCATCACACGATCTTTGGACTTCACCATCAGCTGCATTATTAATCACATTTGTGATCAAAAGCTTAATGAAACCCTTGTTTTAAATAAAACTAAGGGAATTAATGTTTTACTTAAACATCGTGACATGTGTATATGTAGTCTTGTAGCCATTACTTGAGGAGACAACTTTGATAAGATAAACGTGAATTAGATGCATATTGTAGTTGCTTGGCATGATCGACGACACGAGTTGAGTTGTAAGAGACAAATACAGGGTAATAAGAACAATCTCGTGCCCTCGTAATTATTCATTCTGAATAATCGATGAAAAATGACAAAAAAAACCCGCAATATCTTATGCATATTGTTTGAAATTAATCAAACTATCTAACGTATGCGTGAAATGATTCAATGGTGTGACAACTAACCACACTGCAAAATCCATATATGCTTCAAAACTCGATATTATATAATATAATATTCCTTTTTACTTGATGACCCGCTGCCAGCTTGTTGAATTTCCATCCAATGGGCTCATTCACATCATCACATGGGCCTCCAAATAAACTCAATTATTTTAAACCTTAAAACACGAAAACAGTCTCCAATTCTACCCTATAAAACCCCACTCATTAGGCATTCATCTCCAAGCTCACTCACCAAACCAAAGCATAAGAGTAGGGTTCTAAGAGTGAGCAACTTCAAACACTATTGTGAAATGGCTTCCAAGGCTGCACTTCTCTTATCCCTTAACATTCTCTTCTTCACTGTGGTTAGCTCATCATACGTCCCATGCAGCCCACCCCCAAAAGTTCCAAAACACCCACCAGTCCCAAAGCCACCTTCCACAAAGTCTGGTACTTGTCCCAAAGACACCCTTAAGTTTGGTGTGTGTGCTAATCTGCTAGGTTTGGTAAACGTGAATCTTGGGAAGCCACCAAAAACCCCATGCTGCTCTCTCATTGAGGGTCTTGCTGATCTTGAAGCTGCAGTGTGCCTTTGCACCGCTCTCAAAGCTAATGTGTTGGGCATCAACCTCAATGTCCCCGTCAAGTTGAGCTTGTTACTCAACGTCTGTGGAAAGAAGACTCCTAAGGATTTCATCTGCGCTTAAATCTACACTTCATATAACTACTTTATCATGTCTTAAGCTTCTTCTATATTTCGCTATATTCGTTATTCATATCACTATTATGTTTACTTTGGTGTTCTGTCTGCCACTTGCCATTTAGCCAACGAATGAACACACTTCATATAACTACTTTATCATGTCTTAAGCTTCTTCTATATTTCGCTATATTCGTTATTCATATCACTATTATGTTTACTTTGGTGTTCTGTCTGCCACTTGCCATTTAGCCAACGAATGAACATTTTGTTATTTGATTCTATCCAAATTAAATTCTATTCATTGCTTGGAATGAAAACAAGGGATACAAGCATGAATTTTATTGTAATAAAAAATTAAATGTGAATAATTGTTTGTGATAAAAAAAAATATACTGTCCATATTTCTTTAAAGAACTTAATTACTTGGCTTACAATAGTAATTCCATACTAGGCAACATGGTAATAGAAAAGTTAAGATATGACTTTTTATCTATTTTAAAATAAATGTAAGAAAAAAATTCTTATTGTTGTTAACTGTTCCTAATTTTTAATATTTTAAATATTGATATAATATTTATGTTAGTTGAATATAATATTTTGTTCTTTTTATAGGTAAAATATCATTTATCTATTTAAATTTCCTAATGTTTCATATTAGATAAAATAATTAGACTAGTCTAGCTAAAACAGTGTGAAGAGGCTGAAGATCACTAGAGCTGACAGATGCTAGTTAATTTAATAATGTATACAATCTTTCACAACACAAGCTTCTCCTTAATTTTCATTATTCATAAATTTTTGTTCTAGATCTAGTTATTAATTAGAGGGTGGGTGAAACCCGTTGAGATATTCCACCAAAGAGAATGGATCCCATGATTATCATAATTTCTAATAGCTATATACACCAAAAAGTATAGATGTATAGATTCTTACCTAATTCTCAACTCAATGCATATCTGCAGTGTTTCTTAGTCTCATTGTTTGATGATGGAGTCCTCTAATTTTTTTTTTTTGGAACTAACTTTATTATTTTGTAGCCATTTGGAACATTGCATTTTCAAAAACTCAGTACTGACTTGACTTTATTATAAAGTTTGCAATTGTTTCAATTATATATAATAGATTGAGTGTTGTTGAGAAAAACTAGACCTTGCATAACATAGACACCATGTTCTTCCACAAGATGCATTTTAATGTTACTTGTTTTACAGTTTCTGGGCGTTTAAAACCGCCAGAAATGTTGAATCAAGCAAAATTTAGATGAATTTTGTGGCGGTTCTAAACCGCCACAAAGTGATTAAATTTTCTGACACCCAAGACTAGCATTTACAAAATATATGCCACAAACCATTTTTGGCGACCATGGATATGACAGTTATTAATGACGCTAGTAATACGATTTATGGCAG